ATAAAAGAGAAAACAAAAAAATAGAAATAAGTTCTCTGTGACTGAATTATCTTTTTCAGAATGAAAAAATGTTGATTTTTTTTTTTGGATTTAAGAAAACTGCTACTTTAATTTCACACCATAAACTTCTATAACACATACCATAATTAGTGGGACCTGTAATGTACTCAAGGAAAAAAATGGTTTTATGTGTAAAAGTCACAAGGACGAGAAATAAAAATGTTTTTTATATTAACTCATTTAAAATAAGAAATTAAGTTCTCAAAATCAAATTTCTTATTTATTGTATATTTACAGTTCAACCTGAAGAAATCTTCAGCTTCATTTCTATTTTTCCTAATTTTCTTTGTGATATATCATTATCATATTGGTTCTCTTTAATTCATCGAGCTTTGAAGATAATGTGACAAGTGGAATAAATTGTCCTCAGTTTTTATTTAGGGTAGGTCTTTTGATAATTCAATTCCAGATATTTTATAATTTATTCCAAATACTGTAATGATTCTAGGATATCTCACCCATAAAAGGTCAAGTTTTTTAGCAAGTTTGAGATACAATAGCACACAAACTTTAGCTACTAAGCCTAAGAACTATCTTCAAGGATAAGGAAATATGGTAATAATCTCATAGAAGAAAAACCTGATTATGACTCATGTGATATGATTCATAAAAGCAACAAATACAGTAAAAATCAAAATATGACTAAATTAGTAAAGGAAAAGATCTGGAACTGAACGGGTTATTTGTTACGAGGATCTGTGATTTCTCTGATGTGGAATATAGATCCTGATATATATATATATATATATATATCTTCACTAATATAGATCCTGATTGCTCTTTATTTATCTTCTTTGACTGTCTTCATGAGTTATCATGGCTGAAACAATTTATTACCTTGTGATCAGCCTTCTAAGTGATGGATCTCTTCAAGCTGAGCGAGGCTAGCCAACTGATATATCAACAAAAACTTTTTAAGTGCCCACCTGATGCCATGGAAGATACAAAAACAAAAATGAAAATTTCTTGACTTTCAAGGAGTTTACAGTGGGGTGGGGGAGGGGGAGCAGGAGATGACTTTATGTAAATAAGTACATGCAAAGTAAGTATCAGGTGCTTTTTTGAGGGGAACATCAGCAGCTAGCAGCAGGACGGTGGGGATGGAAATCAGGAAAGACGTCACATGGAAGGTGGTGTGTGAGCTAAGTTGTGTAGGACCACTAGTGATTCTAAGTGGCAGAGATGAGGAGTGAGTACATTCCAGGAATTGGGGAAGCCTGTACAAGGCACAGAGATGAAAGATGGAACATTTTACGTTCCTCAGACGTGGCATTCTATTTCCTCAATTATGTGCCCATCTATGCCTTTACAACCTGCATGTCCCCTCTCCATATTTTCCCAAAAGTTTCTCACAGGATTCACTCAATATGCTGGAGGACTTCATTACTTTCTTTTAATATCATGAGGATACTAACAGAGCATGAGGACTGTTGGTCAATTATCTCTTACTCTCACCATGTGACCTGCCTATCATTTTTGCTTACTTTTTTTGATAAAAAAATCCTTTCTACCTCTTGAATGAATGAATGAAAAAGCATTTATCAAGAACTTACTATATACAAAGCATTGTGCTGAGCATTAGGGATATAAACAGAAAAGCAAGATAGTCCCTGCTCTCAAGAAAGCTCATATTCTAATGGAGGAGACAACATATATGTATAGTTTCAGCTGCAAGTCAGATGGAAAGGTCCCATGGTCCTTAGGATGCAGCAGTAAAGCAGATGACAATACTTCTTTAACATCACTGAAAAATCAAATCAGTTTCTGATGTTGAACCATTTAAAAGCACCAAGGACTTTGGTGGCAAGGACCTTCTTTTCTGGGTCTTCAATAGCTGTGACTGTAATACCTGCAGGAGCAGTTGATGGGCTATGTCCTACACAAGGGTTGCCTCCCAAGATGATGGCTGTGAGGGCTAGTCTGGAAGGATTGCTAATTCCAAGGCTCTGGGGGTCAGGGTCCTGGGCTATCTCTATCAGGATCTGAAAGGAGGTGGTGGTCAAGGTAGTGGGGGTTGTAGGACTTGCCTGGCACATGTTATCCTCTCTCTCTCCCTCAGAAGAGGGTGGTGCTTGCCTGGTACTTCAGCTGGGTGGGTTTTCCTTCCCTATGGATTGCAGTTAGTTGGCAGTTCGTGGGGTTGGCTGGCCCCTTCTCCAGAAGAGTTGTCTTCCACAGAGGATGCTGTGAGGACTGGACTAGAAGCAAGACTGGTGGTCTGGGAGGTGCTGCCACTACCAAGGATCTTATGCCCATCTTCCTGCTGGTGGTAGTTGGCCAGTAATGGTTGTCAAAGGTGGTGAGGAAGTGTGGCCCTTCTTCTCTTCTCCCTCATTCTCCATAATTCCTTGATGTTATATATTCTGCATTCTTAAAGTGTACCTTTCTGTGCTCTCTGCATGAGCTTCAAACTTGAATACTTCAGAGACTGGTCAGTGACTCAGAGTCATATAATCATCCATAAGAAAGAATACTACCTTTGGATGCTGGAAACCAACTCTGCCAATTCCATGGAGAGCCTGTGAACCATCTCTTCATTAAGTTGCAACTTCTTCCTGTTTGCCAGTTTCATTTATAATGAAAATGTCAAGATTAATATAATTCAGTTCATCCAGTAATAAGCCTCTTTGTTGGACACCAGACAAAGGTCTCACATTTAGAGTACTAGTAGCTGTTAATGTTTGTAGATGGTCTAAAACCTGCTATTCTTAGCACCTTCTGCCTCATTTTCTACAACTTTGCCACCAGCACTGCAGTGGAGAAGGGAGCCAGTCACAAAGGTAAAAGAGTCATTTTGTATTTTCCTTTATTCTGTAAGTTGACATTGCCAAGAGAATTCAATACCAAGTAGCCTGATGAGCATCTCTGTACTTGGCTAGGCTGGTCTTCAAAAAGCAGACAATGTTATGCCAGGCTCAAAACCTTTTTATAGCATGATGGAAATAAAAGAGCCTAGAATACACTGGAATAGCTTTCAAAAACCCAGTCACTTCTATGTCATTAGGGCCCACAGTTCTATCTCAAGAATTCTCAGGGATTGTGGGAATATTGGTAAGTAGAAGAGTCCTGATCTGTCACCACTCTGTTGTGAAATCTCTAAAAATGCACCAGCAGGAACAGTGAGTCCTTCATCCTGTCTAGGACTTCAGAAATGAATGACAAAATCATACAAAAGCTCAATCAGTCAACAATAAGCACTTATTAAGCACTTACTGTGTGCCAGGTGTTGTGCTAAGTGCTTTACAAATACTATCTTCACAACAACCCTGGGAGGTAGATGCTATAAAAAAATAAAAGAGAGTCACTGCTTTTAAGGGGCTCACAGTCTAACACACAAACAGCTATGTACGGACAAGATATCTACAGGATAATTTGTAGATAATCAATATGGTGGAGATAAGTCCAGGCAGGCAGAAACCAAAGCATGAAACCAGACAAGGAGAAAAGGTGAGAACAGCACCCAGACAGTCTGGGGCTTAGGCAATGTACCAGAGACATGGCAATAGAGAGGAACAGATCAGTGTCTGGGAAGTGCAGTCCCCCGTGGGCCAGGCAACCCAAACAAAGGCAGAATGGCATACACAACTGAGCTAGGATTTGCACCCAGATTTTCTTGATTGCAAATTCTGCACTCTCAACAATATGCGACAGCAAGTGGATTTTCATTCAGCTACTATTAATTGAACTATATGGTCTGTGAGGTCACTTCCAAACCGGAGATTCTGTGATTCTCTCATCATCCAGATTCATGACTTCAGTTATCCTTGACTCTTCCCTATCCTTCACCGCCCCCCCACACACACACCTACTCATTAGACAATTCTGATTCCACCTCCACAATGTTTTCGGTAACGTCCACTCTGCTCTATACTCCTTGTTCTATTTCAGAATCACTTCATCTCTCACCTGGACTCTCAGAATAACCTACCACCTGGCTTTCCTGCTCCCAAGCTGTCCCCTTTCCAATCTATCCTCCATCCAACTGACAAAATAATCTTCTCCATTCTGTGCCATTCTTCTGCTCAAAAAACCTTCAGTGGCTCCCCCTGCCTATATGAAAAAATATGAATTCCTGAGGCTGGCACTTAAGGCCCTCCACAGTCTGGTCCCCATCTACCTTTCCAGCCTTATTTCATACTAGTCTCTCTCACAAACTCCATGTTCCTGCCAAACCGATTAAATGTGTTCCAGAAGCCTAAATTCCATATTCTAATTCCACATCTTCACGCATGCCTTTGCCCAAGCCCAGAAAGTATTCACTTTCATCTCTGCCTTGTAGAATCCTTGTCAACCTTGGAGGCTCAGCTCATGTGCCATCTTTTACAAAAAGCTTTCTCTAGTATCTCCAGCTGTAATCCCCTCTGTCTCCTCCTTCTTCCTCATACAGTACAGGACTGTTCCTTTTTTCTCCTTATATTCTCAGCCTCTAGCACAGGACTTTGAACATGATAGGCACTTTAAAACATTTATCAAACTGAACTGAAAGGTCTGGACCAGACGATTTCTAAGATGTCTCCCAGCTCTAAACCTTTTGCCCGTTTTGTGATTTGGTAGTATCAATAAATCTTTGTTGATATATATTATTGATGGAGAAGTTTTGACAGTTTGAAGAGGATGTTAATTAACAGAAATGCAAGTATGAAATTATGATAAGACTGAAATGTTAGGTGATCCCAGAAATGTATGGGGGCATGCTGTCCTTTCCATTCATATCTAGCTATATTTTTAAAGGGTTAAAGAAAATACATTATAGCATTTAGGAGAAATGCTACTAAAAGAATGACATTGATTTCAGGACAGAAGATCTTACTACACTGCAAGGTTATCATATTTGGTCTTCAAAATATATCCATACATTTTATACTCTGTAGAAATACATTTCAGTTTAAAGTATTTCCCTTACCAGAACTGACCGAGAATAATAAAACAATGAATCTTACCTCCAGTCTTCCATGGTTACAAGCTAGTAAGAACAGATTGGCTCTGTCCTTTTCACTAGAAATAGGAGACCAAGGCCAAACATCATCACTAGCTGTTTCCCACCAACAAATGACCATATCTTGAATACAATTGATAGCTAGATGACGTACTATTCTCCGGGATATTGGGCCAGGTATTTCCAGGTAGGATATCTAAGGTATCAAAAAAGGAGAGGGGAGTACAAGAAACACTTATTTTTTTAAGTGAAAACCCCTCAAAATACAACAAGAATTAAACTGTCTTCTAAACATGTAGATTCTACATAAACACCCATAAAAATACATGTTAAATATGTTCTTATGTGTCAAAATTTTTCAAATTCTTTTGACATATCTAAAAAGATAAATGCTCAAAATTTGCCATTTTTAGTTGAAGGAATAAAAAGGAACAACGTGGGTTCAGAAGGGATTTTCTGTAGTGACTCTAATCAATACCAAAATGTACAGTCATGGTTGCTTGACAGCATCGACCTACAGACAGGATTTAAGATCAGCAATATGAAATGACAAGTTCAGTGCTGCCGACCAGAAGCCTCTGACGACTGTTTCAGACACAACAGCTAATGGTTAAAAAGAAAAAAAAAACCATGACAAAAGAAGAAAGGATATTTGGCAAATATTAGCTTGAGGAATTTATAAATATATTACATATACATGCACACACATAGATGCTGCATGATGGAAACAAACAACAAATTACGAATGTAAAGTTTATGCAGCTCATAAGGACTGTGCTTCTATTTTTCAGGAAGGATTTGCAGAATTTATTATTCAAACTATGTTATTTTGGAACACGGTTATTTGAAAACATGAACAGTGCACCACATCTGGGTGACACATGCCAAGGAAATATAGATTGCACTGCATTTCTGCTTAAGGAATTAATGGAAGGTTGATAGCTAGGAAGAAAAAAAAACTATCTTGCCATTGCTGGTCAGCAATAATCGAACCACTTTCTGGGGATTAAGCGCATGGCTAAGCCTACTGGACCAGACACTAGCAAAGGGCAGGGGGTCCTCTTATCAGAGAAATGCTTCTGGAGCCAGTCTCACTACATGACAGATTGCTTTCATATTCCTGTCTGCAAGGCAACAAAGGATGGCAGTAATGCGATAATGCCAGAGTGCAATGGGTGTTAAGAACCCGTTGCATTTATGTATTGTATTTAGTAAATAATCAGGCTCATCCAAATTGTGATCTCACCACTCAACCAAGGCCATTAAAATCAAGGTTAATGCTTTAATAATCCTTTGCTTTTTTAAAAAATATGGTCAAAAAGAACCCTTTTCTATTTGCATGGCCATAATATTATTGACCTCTTCATCCTCTGAATACACATCAAAAGGAACTGAAATCAAAGTAATTACCAATGTTGTTCTCTCATGGTAAACATTTAACTCCTTGTACTGTTTCCTCACTGTTCAGTAAATTGAAATGGATTAAAAAGCCATAGAAAGAAAAACTTGTTACAGGTCAATAGTTTCAGTATTTTTACCCTACAATATTCTTTGCCAAAATTATTTGCATTTAAAAGAATTCATGTATGGCAAATTTGTAAAATAATGGAATAATCACACTTTAGTTCCCACTTTTGCTTGGGCAATTTCTTAAAAAAAACCTCAAATGGACAATTACAGAGACTTATGTGTGTTTTATGCTTTTAAGTATAAATTAAAATCTGCATATAACTCCCTAATATTATTATTTTGTCTTAGTCTACTTCTGATGTAAAAGAAAAAAAACAGTGGCCATTAAAAAATGAAATTAGTAGTATCTTTAGAGGAAAAATATGAATTTCTAGAAATGCTTTGGAAAACTGGTATTCCTTCAATTCAAAGACAAAAATACAAAAAGGGAAGTAACTGAATAATTATCACCTCTCTTGAACAGCAAGGACTCAATCCTAACTAAGTCTATTTTTCAGAACTAGTTCATAGGAATATATACATTGGAAAAGAAGGTTAGCTAGCCAGGTGACATGAAGGATGGCACGAATTCCAAAGGAAGACCTATAGTGTATTGGACAAATCCTCTACAGAAGATTTATGGAAAGATATGGATATAAATTGCATAAAATGAAATGTCATGGATGGGTTGTGATCTGTAGTGATGGAAAGAGTTTTCTACTTGATGAAATCTTGAATTCATCAAAGCACTGAAGTCCATAAGAGAGTATGATATCTTGACAATTTATCGCTGCTCCCATTGAGAAATAGCCAACCACTAAAGAAGATTATTACAAGACATCTGTCTATACTTGAGTTATGTAAACCAGTCATGCATTAATTTATTTGATAACATTAAAGGTACTTTTAATGTAAGACTTAGCTTTTCTTTTAAAGCAACTCATATGAATTACTACATAGCTTTAAATGCTGGACCATAGCTAGCAATTCTGATGTAAAGATGCATCCCACTGAAAACGCTAATACCTTTTCAATTTTACTAAACAATATATAATCTCTAAAGATTACCACTGTTACTCCATACTGTTTATAAACAGCAAAATTCAGTAACAATCAATTTAGGACACTGGGTGTTAATTCTGATTTACTACCACACTTAAAAGCTCATAAGGAACATATTTCCTTCTTCTTAAAAAAATCACAGTCCTTAAAATCCATTTAGTTTTTTCAATAATCAGAAAAATTATGAAGGCTAACTATCATTCTTCTAAAATCACAAAGTTTAAGTTTCTGGCTATAAAGATGGTGGCTTCTAAAAAACTTACTCTTTGCTAAAAGATGCTGTAAATATGGCATAAGTGTGCATCTTTTTTAAGGAAAGTAGGTATCAGCTCAGTTCCTGGTGAACAGCGAACTGTCTCAAATCCAGCGTTACAGAGGTTGGCTCAATCTCGCAAACACAAGTCAGTGCTGAAAGGAGGCCTTGGACTGAAACAGCCTGGAAAATGTATTAGATACTCATCCTAGGAGACAGTATTCTGTCCAAGCAAGTTAAAATATAATGTGGCAAAAACTTAAATTAAACACATCATTTAAAATAAAAATCTTGCCTTATAGTAGTAAGTCCCTGACACAAGAAAACAAATTACTGAGAGTTAGTGAAGGAAACATACTACTAGTATATGAAGGAATTTTCTTTTTAGATTTTCTCCAGGCATATTAAGGGAGTCTCCACATCCTTCCTTTACTACACTTTTCTATTATCCTTTATAAGTGTTTTCCCCCTCCTTTCTTTCTTTATTCTGTGAAATAGAGACCACAGCAACCTTCCTGGGTGGTGTAGGATGGTGGCTTTAGGAAAGATTATAAAAGTATGTCTACTGTAGCTAGCAAAAAAGTCAGAATATCTAAAGAGATTAAGTATAATTTTCTCAATTATCAGTCCTTGATTTCCAAAAGGTCTGTTAATCTCTGTAAATGTTATTAAACTGCTATTGTTAAAATAAAAACAAGTTTAGTAATAGCATTGTTTCTACTGGAGCAAATTTAGGCCCCAATCACTATCTCCTCTGATAAGTTATATATACATATATATAACATATAACATATAATATAATAAATAATATATACATATAATTAACATACATAAATAATGAATAATATACACACAATTTTCCAAAGGAGATAGATACACATGTATATATGTATATAATATATATGTTCTAGCATGTACTCTAATATATATTATAAATTAGAAATAAAATCAAGTTATTTTCTGCTGTAACAAGTTCCAGTGGCTCATAATAACAATATTAACTGACATCTTTACCTTATACTCTGAGGTGGAGAGTTTTTCAAATCTTTTGTTTATGTCAGGGGAATCCAACTTCTTAGCAAATTGAATATAGCACAATTTATTTTGTTCCAAAAAAGACAAGATGATGAAACTGTCTGTGAGAATAGCTGGAAGACAAATAAATGTGATAATATAATTTCATGGGTTACCAATTTATTAACAACTTAATTATATTTTTCTACTAATTGCAAAAAAAAGAGTAATTTTTCAGGATCAAGTTTTCATATCTTAAAAGACTTAACTGTGACTCTTCGCTTGGGTAAATGAAAATATCTGGAACTATAAATGTCTGTCTTTAAATAACAACATCACCTTCTTGGATTCATCGGTGCTTAGAGACCAATGCTCTCAACTAACTTAATTTTATGGATTTAAAATGAACTAAAAAGAAACTTTCCTCTGGGGTCAGATAAGTTGAATGTCATAAATCATAATGGGAATGAGATGCACACAAAAATTAATCAGATATAATGATATAGTATTAACAAAAACAGCCACCTAATTTTATTCAATGGCACAGGGAAATAAATTTTATTCATAAAATATGTATTACATAAGATAACAACAATAATTCATATGAGAATATTTTATTCTCAGGAGTAAGAGGTCATTTAAAGTTTCATGCATTTTATTTTATTCCTGCGCCCTTTGGTAAAAGCCAGTGAACAACGGTGGATGTACACAATTATAGGAGTCTGGAGAATTGCCAAGGAATCATATTGTTATCTGGTTCCCAAGAGAGAGCATTATTCTGGGTATAAATGAAATAAACTTAAATGAAAAAAGATGATTTCAAGATACAAATGAAGTTAGTTGGTAGTCTCTGCTTAATTCTTAGTGAAGAGGCTTCAGTGTGACAAAATCATCACCATTGCCACAAACGGTACTTTTGTTTGTAGTGTCAACAGAGAGGTCAAGGATTATACACATATGGAAATTGACACTACAATATGGAAGCTTTCCTTTGCATTAAATTGCTATAAGGAAAAGAAATTGCAAGGAAATAATCAGCTATCCCAACCAGATGTTGTCATTATTTGATATTAATAGTAACCTTAGAATTATACAGTACCTTTGAGAATCAAAAATGCATCTCATTTATTCTCATGGTTTTTGTGTGAGGTGGGTAGGCGGTACAAACTGAACGAAATCAGTAGGGCTGTTGGTTAAATATTGATATTTTCTTACTTTTATTCTATTAATTTCCATGATACTCAGTTATGATTGCTTAATTCAAGATAAGGACAATTTTAGCATTTTATCATAATGTATACTTTTTACTGTGTGTAAAATAACACATCTTTGAAAATTTAGTCAATGACTTGAACATTTCTCATATGCTGCAAGCTAAATATAAGGATTTCAACATAATACCTTATGTGGCTTAAATAAAATCAATCAATACATTTGAATCTAATCTTATATTTATAGATATTTATTTATGAATAGAAAATCCAGTCTAGAATCTCTCAAAAGTGATTAATCATAAACTTTTAAAACAATGACATCTTACAGAGATGCAAGAGTAGAGATATTTCATTGGGAGTTGTGTTGACACATTTATTGGCTCATTCACCCACTCTTGTTTTATTCATTCATAATTCAGTTAAGAGTAAAAAATGCTTGAAATGTCAAGAACAATAGAGCCCTCTTTGGGGGGAAAACCATTTGAACATAAAAACTAAACTGACAGTCTATTAATAATGTCTTGTGGGTGTAGTAGTGTGGTATGGTAGAGAGGAGTGTGGCAAAGTCAGAAGAGCATTAAACCTGATGGCCAAACAGCTATGTACCTAGACCCACTGTATATAACTCTATGACTCTGGGCAGCTTACTTAACCTCTGAGCCTCATCTTACATATCTATAAAAGACAATGTGGTGTAGTAGAAACAGCCCAGGACTTGGAGCTGGGAAACTGAGTCTGAATCCTGCATCTGACACTGACTAGCTATGTGACTATGGGATAGTCCCTTAACATTTTTGAGTCCTGGGTTCTGTATCTGTGAAATGGGGATAGTACTTAGTTCTGATGGTTGCTGTGAAGATTGAGTGTGATGATGTTTTAAAGTACGTGGAGAACCTTAAAGCTCTAACCTCTTAAAGTATTATGCAGAGTGTTCCAAAACTTTAAAAGTTCTAATTTATTAGAGCTTAAAACTGCACTAAGACTTTTAAAATAGCCTATAAAAATGTCAGGCATTGCTGCTGTTGTTGTTGGTTTGTTCAGATGCATCCAACTCTTTGTGAGCCCCATGGACCATAGCACACCAGGCCCTTCTGTCCTCCACTACCTCGCAAAATCTGTCCAAGCTCATGTTCATTGCTTTCATGACATATCTATCCATCTCATCCTCTGTTGTCTCCTTCTCCTTTTGCCTTCAATCTTTGCCAATATCAAAATCTTTTCCAATGAATTCCATTTAAGCTTTAGCTTTAGTATTTGTCCTTCCAATGAAGAGTCTGAATTAATTTCTGTAAGTATTGACTGATTTAATCTCCCTGATGTCCAGGGAACTCATTATTATTACTATCATTATTATCACAAAATGAAAATGATTATCTATACTACGCCTATTACTAGTCAGCAGACTGTTACAAGGAAAGGTATTTGGAAATCTAAAAGTACATAACCGTGAGTTTTTCTTATTAATTCCTGAGAGACTCCCCTGTGATTCTGTAGGACAGATATATCTTTAATTACAAGAGCAATTATTGATAATAATTTTTTTTTAAATTCAAGTCAACAAGGAAGTGTGACTTAGTAGGTACAGAGCCAGGATCAGAGTTAGGAAGACTTGGACTGAAGTCCTGACTAACATATAATAGCCATGTGATCCTGAGCAAGTAACTTTACCTCTCTGTCCCAGGCAATTCTAAAAGCTACTGCCAAATTATATTGGAAAAGGGGAGTTTGCTAATTGGGAATTCCTTATACCAATGAAATCACAGGTCTAGAGAAAAAAATAATAAATCAGGTCAGAAGCTTATTGGGAAGGATCACCTTTGTGCTCATATTTCCCAATCCCAATTATCTACAGTTTATCCTGTTTAGATCTACCTTGTACATAGTTGATTACATGTTGTCCCTCCCATCAGACTGTGATGTCCTTGGGACTGCAGAGACTGTACCCTTCTTGGTATCTCTAGCACTTAGCTTAGTGCCTTGACTTACAGTAGGTGCAATAAAGCTTGTTGACTGACTGACTGACCTATTGGCTTTCCTCCCTTAGGATGACCAATAAGTATCAGAAAAATAATGAAAAAAAAGAGATCACTCTCCCGCAGAGTATGACCAATTCACTGTGTCATATAGCTACTAAATCTCAGCGTTGAAGGGCATGTCAAGACCTCCTGCTTCTCATCCAACATTAGAATTCCTTTCATGATATCTCTGCTAACTGAGCACCACTACTTGAATATTTTTCAAATGTCAAACAAAATGGATGATGAAGTACATCAAAGATAAGAGTAGAATCATGTGAAGTTATAGCTGGATGAGTAAACACTCCAGACAAATCCCACTACATACTTTTTTTCCTGAGTCATATGAAATTTAGGTGAGAAAGCATTTATCAAAAGCCTATGTGCTAGAAGCTAGGGACAAAAAAAACAAAGTCAAGGAGTTTACACTCTACTGGGGAACACTAACTTCTTAACGGGATCAGGAAAAGCTTTCTGTAGGCCATGGTTGCAGGAACCCTAGGGATTCCACAATGGGAAGATAAAGAGAGAGAGTATTCCAGGCACAGATGCCAGCTTTGTGCAAGGTGGGAGATGACACAGCATGTATGGGGAAGGGCAAGCAGGCTAGTTTGCCTCGAATTCAAAAGGCATGAGGTGAAGAAATGTAAAATAAGCCTGGAAAGGTTGGTTGACCCCAAGTTGTGAAGGGTTTTAAATAACAAAATAGGAATTTGTAGTTTATCCTAGAGGCAGTAGGGACAAAATGAAGATGAGCAAATATCAGATATTAGACATTTTCTCTCTCTCCCATATTACATATGAGAACTTCACATTTCTTTGGCATTATCACCATGTTCTCTTCTTGGTCCTGACATTTGAACATGAGTATATGAAGCATGATAGAATGTCTTTGGGGACAAGAAAATGCCAGTTTAAGATGCTAACTGTAGTCTCTGTAAAGCCTAGATATAGTCAGAAGTTCTAAAGTTGTTTCTAAAATTCTCATCAAAATCTTTTTAAACTTGAAGATCAGACTTTCCATAACTTGTTCCTAATGAACATAATTTTTAATAGTCACATATGTATTTTTTTTACTTAAATACAGTAGAGTCTCCATAATAACAGAGCTCCTTATTATATGGATCTGGCTTTTTTGGGGGGTTGGTAAGAGGTTGGGGAGCAGGGGGTGGTCCTGAACTTGTGATTTCATTAGTGTACAGAACTCCTTCTACCAACGCAGATCAGCAATTTTCCTGCAATTTCTGAGTTACTTTTGTGTATTGCAGTAAGTCTAATCACATAAATATGTAACAGTGAAATATTAATTTATGAAATGTGTAAGTCCTGTCCTTGTTACTTCCTTAATTATATAAATTTGCATATATGCAGCCTTCTCATGCCCTGTCATGTTTAGATATCATCATGCATTAAGATTACAGCAGCAATTGGGTTGAACATATAACTATATACTGAGATTACTCTGCACCTTTACTCTGCCTTCACAGCATAGATTTTTAAGATTTTCAAAACCAAAATATTAGTGACAAAAACAAATTCCCAATTGTACTTTGTAATGGAATATTAAAAGTTTAACAACGTCCCTTTTGAAAACCAACATGATAGGATAAATAAGTTTTCCAGTGGTGTTTATGCACTTTGAAATTTCCAGTCATTGGAAGTGATCATGAGAGAGGCAACATGGTGTATGTACATCAGAGGCATCACACTCAACCTTGGCTTCATGTGGGCCCAAACCTGGGAAATGTCTAACAAAATAAATGAAAATAAAATACAATACAGATACGTGGTTTTCTAAGTCAATATGCACCTGCAGAAATACGTTTCTATTTAAGTTTGACATCTCTAGTGTACATCAGAATAGACAAAAAGATCAAAAAGACTTGGGTTTGAGGCCTGCCTCTCACATATATTGTTATGGGACCCTAGGCAAATCACATAACCTCTCATCACTCACAGGAAGTTCTGTATTCACAGAGCAAGTGCCAAAAATGCATTGGCAGAAAGTATCTCCTCACTGGGAAATTCCCTATACCAAATGAAATCAGAGGTCCAGTAAAGAGAGAGAGAGAGAGAGATAAAGGTTGAGATCATAGATATCAATGATGTTGATAACAGAATATCAACTGATATTAATATACTTTAATATACATAGCAAATATTTTTCAAATACCATCATAAAGAAACATTGAAGAAATTCATGTCAATTCCCAATTTCCATATTTGTAAGCATTTCCTATCATGGACAAAATTCCAAATATAGATGCATATTTCAAAACAGTTGTATATTTGAAAGAAAATATAAAACACTTCCAAATGTACTTAATGCTTGACAACATAAAAATCAACTTTGATATTAAATACTAGTCTAAAACTTGTGCCTAGTCCCAAGGGTGGTAACTATGGCATTACAAGCAATTACTTGTTGTGTTTTGCAAATCTCCAGTGACAATAATTAGTCTACCTGTTGACAGAGAATTTCTCCTGTTCTATTGTTAATGTAGGCAATTGATTTGCACAAGGCTGTAATTACCATCACTGATGGTGTCGGAGATGAGCTTCCCCACTAGGGTTCTGTCAATCACCACTTTATCCAGCTGTGGCCCAGAAAGGCTTAGGGACACCAACACACCTGAACCAAAAAGAAGCTAAATTCAAATAATCAAGAAAACAAACAAAAAAAAAAGTCAGTTAGTCATGGAACCAGAGTCTTAAAAATAGCATTTCACATATCATGAAATTACAAGAAAAAAAACATAGCTCCACAAAAATTACAGATATGTTCCTTGTTTTTATTCTTTTTGCATGATACAGAATACAGAAAAAACCATGTATTGACCAAAATTACATGAAGAGTTGAGATTATTCCGATTTTGTTAGTAATAAACTAAATGCTTATTTTTATATAAATAATTCATTTTATTTGCATTATAGAAAACACACTAAACAAAAAGTAATTCTATCTAGTATTTGATTATAGAACATCAAAGCATTAAAAAGTATGTAACTTTGGTTGGCATATTCATTTCTATTATACAAATGATTTGTAATGATTATTCAGTTAAGTACTAGAGAGGTCAGAACATTCTATTTATTTTCCCCTTACAGAAATTCACTTTTTTTTCCTTCCTCAAGCCTTAACATATTATTATGAAAAAGAAAAAAAAACCCATAGTTCATACAGCAAAGAGAACTACCTACTTTGTTGTTCCTTAGAATTCTCCATACACCAAAACTGCTATTTCATATAAGTCAATAACTTTAACTTTGTCTGTCACAGATGCAATACAATGTGCACACATTATATTAAATTTTAAATGCTGCAACTTTATAAATACCAAATATCTGCAAACATTCATGGGGAGTCCTGCCTAATAATAGGGAGACAGGTGACATCATTGAGTTTATACTATTTTCTTCCTTCTTCAGTAGTATAACTTGTCCATCCCCAGAGATCCTGAACAGTGTGTAAGTTCAGTGATAAATTCGGTTGAGTGAATTGATCAGCATAATATTAAAACAATGGATGGGGGGACAATTTATTATTTAATAACTAATTCCCCAATTGGGAAATCCAGCTACAAAAAAAATCTCCTTCAGATAGTTTACTATTTTATATAACCTTCCTGGGGAAAAAAAAAACCAACCTGTGTATAATCTCGAAATGTCTATTAGTACACGAAATTTCAGCAATGGAAGAAAACATTTCACTTCCAAGCTAACAGTTATCAGTGCCGATGAGTCACCGTATAACACATGGTACAAGAAGAAAAAAAAAACCCAATGGTTAGTTAACTAATCATAAAAATGCCGGCCAAACCCACAACACAACTAAGATTTTAAACAAAACTGGGAATTCCCCCACCCACTGATCCATCAAGTCCCAGCTAGAGAGGAGAATTCCATGTCAGGACATATTTGAACATGTGTGGGAGACTTTGAAAGAGGGGCATGAGAAAGACATGGAAAGGCCTTATCTATCCCAGGTTCATGAATCAGACAGCAAATTGGAAGGTTCTTTATGATCAACTTGTTTTTGTAATTTTGTCTATAACAAACTCCTCGTCCTCAGGCCCTCAAAAGTGTAGTCTGACTATTAAGAAGAGAGGACTTTAAAGAGTTGTTCTATTTCATGTCAATGTCATGGTGGTGGGGGTGGGGAGAGAAATGAACTGTTGGCTTTGGAGAAGAGAACAAATCATACTTGCTGGCTTTGGAAACCAATCATAATAGGTACATTTCCCCCAAAGATTTCAAAACAATTATCCTTTAAATATAAACTGCTTGTGAAGAATAATTGTGAGCAACCAAGTTATTCTGAGCACTATAGATATTCAAGTCAATTATAAAGGACCTATGAAGGAAGATACTATACACCTCCAGAGAAAAGAACTGATAAATAGAAGTATGCATAATATGGTATTACATATATTTGCAAATCTGCATCATATGGTGACCTTCTCTAGTGCAGAGTGGAAAATGAAGGAAGGAGAAAGTGAAGAACTTAAAATGTAACAAAAAAAATAGAAAAAAAATAAATATAAACTGCTTAACTAAAATATCTGCCCCTATGATATTCAGTGATGTCAAATATCAATATCACCATGATTTGTGAAAAGTCCGTATGAGTCAAGTGAACAAGGGAGAGATGAAAAGAACTTTGGGAGGAAGTAACCATAACACTGTAATATGTAAGCAGGATAATGCCAAGGGATGTCTAAGGGACCTTGGATATTGGGAGAATGTATTTCCAAGAATTCAGAGAAAGGAAAGATAGAATCTGAGGGGCTAAGAAGTCTATCCAAGAGGGATGGGATAGTCTCAAGAACAAAATTTGGCCATATAAGGACTAATTATTTCCATGAGGAAAAAAAGAAGATGCTGTCTAAGGAGAACACTATGGATACATATGGAGCAACCTAGATTTTTTAAAAGACATGTAAAGAAAATTAAAGCAGGGGTAGAAAACTGAGGATGAATATGAAAGTATGGCACGTTCTTGTAGGACTAACACCAGGAACACTAAAGCCTAGAAGGAGATAAAACTTGCCATGAAGAGTTACAACAGGGCAGAGCTCGGTGGCGCAGTGGATAGAGCACCGGCCCTGGAGTCAGGAGCTCCTGAGTTCAAATCCGGCCTCAGACCAAACACTTGACACTTACTAGCTGTGTGACCCTAGGCAAGTCACTTAACCCCAACTGCCTAAAAAAAAAAAGAGTTATAACAGCAAAAAGATTTTTAAGCTATATCGGAGGCAAAAGAAAGATAAAAAAGGAATATATTTGGGAGTTGATGAGATGATAATAATTGATAACCAAGAGTCCATTTCTATTTCATCTCTGTCTTCTATACTAGGGAACATAATCTTCATATTTGAAGGACAAAAGAAAAGTAGCTTGGAAGAAACTGGAATCCAAGACATGTAAGGAGATGGGCCTCGCTTCCCTCAAAAAGTTTAAATCACCAGGCAGGCACAAACACATCCTAGGCTACTGAAAAAACTGACTGATGTGGCTGCTGAGTCACTGTTGGTGATTTTTGAAAAAGAGATTCAACTTCTATAAGAAATTATTTTTCTTGGTGTGTATGTCCTTTCTTCTGTCCACATCCTATTCTTCTGCCTATAATTAATTATAATAAGTCAAGTAGTAGTAGTTTTAATAGCATTAACTTTGTACTCATTTTGATCTTTACTTTAAAAAGCTAATGTTCTGATCATTCATAGTCACCTGATTTCAAGAATGACTCCCATGTCAGTAATAAATGATTTCCTGTCTATTCAAATAGAATAAATTTCATTGTGATATTATTTCATGTTCATCATGTCTAGTACCTTCCAATTCTTTTTCTCAATGTAAACATATGTGACTTACAGACTTTAAGATCCTGTAGAGTGTCTTTAACTCCTTATTCCCAATTTATATTTTTCAACATATTTTTCAGCTTCGTCACCTACTGCAATATTTGCAATGAAGTCACTCAATATCAAAGTAATGTTGATTTAACTGGGTCTTACAGAGTTACTGGCAGAATTTCTTTACCTCTTCATAATCTGCAATAGATGGTGGTACACTGTTTGCAATTGTTTTCGTGGTAGTCTTTTTGCAAGTATTTATCATGAGCATTACAACATGAGGGGACCAACTATCCCATGAAATAATGTTTCTTAGGGCTTTTGAATCTGACAATAAATGATGATTGTTCGCTCATTTATTTGCCTCTCGAGGGAGAACTTGTCAGCTGTCCTTCCAGTTAACTACAATTTCCTTTTGTCTTTTGGTTTTGGTTAAAGTAAGAATGTTAAGATTGACATGATCTAGTTGCACCAGCAGCATGATGAGCATTCATTGATCTTTGGACAAGGCTCTCACATTTAGAATGCCAACAGCTAAGTTAAAGTTTGTGACCTATCTAAAAACGGAGGCTTAAAATCCTCTGTTCAGTTTTCTGCCGCTCTCTGCCATATCACTGAAAAAAAAAGGACCCCTAGGGATGAAGAGCCATTTTATAATTTCATTGTTCCACATGTTGCCATAGCCAAAGAATTACCAAGTTACCAGCCTATTTACTGGTCAATAATACCAAGCTATGTGTTTAGCTAGGCTGGTCCTCAGAAAGACTACTCACTCAGTCCTCTGCCTGGCCTGTACTCAAAAGTCTTTTCCATCATGGTAAAAACTGCCAGATCTTGCACTCTGCTGGCATAACCTCTGAAAAACCAGGATTCTCTCCACACCACACTGTACATAGTAACAGGTATTAAAGTTTTCATTTACTTTGTATATTCACTGAATTTACATACTTTTGTACCTGTTATATATATCCCTCCCAACCCTATTAGAATATAAGCTACATGAGGACAGGACTGACTCAGTTCTGTTTTTGTATATCCAGAACTTAATATATTCCCTTGCATGATGAAGGGACTTATGTTTGTTGAATTGAATTGAATATGACATATCCAACATGTTCAGGTTGATTGTTAAGCCATGAATCTATAATCTTCGGTTTAATAAACTGAAAATCTAGCAAAGCGTGTAAACTCTGAGGCTCTCAAAGACCCTCATAAGACGATGGAGAAGAATTTGAAAGTAAGTGTCCTATCAGAAACAGTCTGGGATATATCTGAATGGTCTTAATTATGATAGCCTTTATTGGAAAACTGAACCTTTCCCAATCCTTGCCATCACCACTGGGGAAGATACCAAATTTGGCCACAGCACAGAAAATGACTGGGAATAGGAAATGCAGCTATACATATAATAAGGTCCCCTTATTTTTCTTGCAAAAAAAATTATTTATAGATACACACATATGCCTGTATAACATACTATTTCCTTAAAAATGAAATGTTAACCAAAGACTCCAGCTTCTGGGATAAGAACTCACTCTTTGAAAAAAACTGCTGGGAAAACTGGAAAGGAATATGCATAGACCAATGTCTTACACCATATACCAAGATAAGGTCAAAATGGGTACATGATTGAGACATAAAGGGTGATACCATAAGTAAATTAGGAGAGCAAGGAATAGTTTAGCTGTCAGATCTACAGAGAAGGGAATAATTTATGACGAAACAAGAGATAGAGAACATTATGAAATGAAAAATGGATAATTTTAATTACATTAAATTAAAAAGGTTTTGCA